GAATAGGTGGTTGGAAAAAGTATCCCAGACCATAGAGAAAAGCAGGCACAAAGGCCCTGTGGTAGGCTGGGAAGTCTGAGGGACCTTAAGAAGTTGAATATAGATGGATCACAATGAGTGAGGTGATCTGTGGCATAAACAAGACTAGAGATTAAATTTGAGGTGATATAAATGAAAACTCAGTTATAGATATTCTGGCTAGTTTAAAGAGAAAAGCTACATGAGCTGTAATTACTTGCCAAAATTTTTGGAAGTCAAGAAGCCAAGCTTGAATGCCACACAATTAATAGGGACCTGGTCCAGGGAAATTTCAGAACAACTCCATCACCCAGCCAGAAGGCGAATACCAGAGCCTCTACTACAGCTGTTTCTGAGAAGCAAAGATATCCACCACCCTGGTTAGCGGAAGAACTGCACAACCTTGCAATATCCCCACAGACCTTCGCATGCTGTGAGAAAAGATATACTTGGTGGGAGCCAGCCACACACATTCATACATCAGCAGCATGGGGGCATGGAGCATGTAGGTTGGGAATTCTACCTGGGAAAGGCAGGATTGACAAAACACAGAATAATTATAATGGGGAGAGGAGGAGGTATACAAAAGCTTGAGAACATTGAAAAATGACAGATGTCATACAGAGATGGAGTCTGGCTGGAGCTGCATATTTGTGAATCACTGACATTGTAATTAAAGCTGAGGACATGGATGAGAACACATATGAGATCATAAGTGGGAGATGGTAGAATATTCTTTCTGTACTCAATTTGTTTGACAGGCTCTGCATGAAGTGCTATGTGCAAATAGTTCATAATCAAAGGTGAGAAACCGCTTCCAAGCAGATAACTGCAATGTAATATAGCAATGCTACAATAAGGATTTGTATAGAGTATTGCAGAAGAATGATAGTGTTGCTGAGGCAGGGAGCACTCATGTAGCAAAGGAAACCCAAGGGAACCCAAATCTGTATCTCTTTTGATTCATTTATCCAACTGCCAACCAGTGATGAGCTCTGGGGTATTTCATCAACACTTCACTTTCAACGTGCCCAAAATTATACTTGTTATGTATTCTCCCCTTTCCTTTCACCAAGTTCTTCCTCTTTCTACAATTATCATCATGATCAACTACCAGATTCATTGCCCAAGTTGAAAATCTGGAAATCCCACTTAGCCCCCTTCTTTACTCTCCAATATCCAGTTAGTCCACATAGATTTTAAATTTCATCATGGAAGTATCTCCTGAATCTGTCACCTCCCCTGGAACCCTACACTAGAGCCATGGGTCATCTACTCAATTCCCCATGTCCACGGATATCGCAGAAGTTTTCTGGTAGGTATCTCAACAAATAAACCTCTCCTAACTCTAATGCTGGGGTCCACAAGCTTTGTTTCTGTAAAGCGCGAAATAGTAAACAGTTTTGGCTTTGCAGGCTGTAAATTCTGCGCTGTAAGAACTCAGGTCTGTTCTTGCAATGAGAGAGCAGGCATAATAATCTGTAAGTGCATGGGTGTGGCTGCATGCCAGTAAGGCTTTCAAAGTGTGCTAACTCCTGCTTGACTCCAGAAAACCATTGGAATCATCACCCTGAAAACAGATCAACTTCTATGCCTTTGCTATTCCCCAGTTTCGGTGGAAGAAAGCCCAAATACCTTTGCCCTTTGAAAAGATCCTTTATGGTTTATTCCTAAACTATTCTACTGATTTCATCTTTTGCCTCCTCCGTGTTGTGTCCAGTTTTGTGGCTTGTTTTTAGGATTCCGCACCTTTGCACATGTGATTTTTGCCTTCCTCTTCTTCATTCCTTGGAAAAATTATCATCTTTCTGTGCCCTTCTTAAATTTGAGTGCTCTCTGTCTTTGCATTATTTTCATTTTTCTTTTCTAGATTTCTATACTAAGTTCTATAGCAGCTTGGTAAGATTATGTCATGATTATCTGCTTGGAAGCTGTTTCTTACACTTGACAAATCCAGCACTTAATACAGGGCCCGTTAAATGTCTACTGAAAGAATAAACAATAAATACAAAATGTGAAAATAAAAGAGGGAGTGAGAGACTGGCCAGAGAGGGGAGAAAAAGAGTGCAGACAATTCTTTTGAAAATTCTGGTAGTTAAAAAATAGGGGGGAAGGTAGATACTTTATTCTCACAACCATAAGACTAGCCATAATGAGCTGTTTTTAATGTCATAGCTAAGTTTTTAACTTGAAGTAATATAATAAAATAAGCACACAGATAAAATATGGAAATTTTCCCCAGCTTCAGGAATTGTGAGTAGTGCCCAAGTCCACAGAACCCTACAATATTTATTTCACTCTGCCCACCTTGGCGCTCAGTTATAATTCCACCCATGACATATCTATTTTAAAAGAGTACTGTTGAGGTAACAAAGCCTTAACTCATGGGAAAAAGATGAAAATTCTAGCACAGTGGATAAGACATTTGGCCCCAATGAGTCTATGTCACAGTTCCTTTGAAATTACATCAAGCAATTAATTCTGCTGTAGCTACACTTGGTGCCGTCTTTCTGAAGGATTTTGTGAAGGTATAATTTCATACTCTCCTTCTCAAGGTACACAATTAGCTCTCATCTGGTTTTACATGAAAAAAGTACTGCCAATTTTAAAAAGTACATGTTACAAGGCAGAACAACTTACCATTCAGCAACAGTGAAAGGATTTGTTGGTGTGTGAGCCATCAGACTCATTGTCTTGAGCCTCAGGGCAACCCCCATCTATGTCTCCTAGACCATTTCACAGTTGTCAGTACTGGGGAGATACTCGGAAAGAGGTGACATATCTGTGCAGTTCCAATCAAATGCCTCTGGACTTGGCCAATGAAGGCGAAGTTTCTTTCAACAGATCTGTCTTTGGACTATCTTTTTCTCTCACACTGTTAGTCGTTGGAGTGGACACTACTGATGCCTTGCCCACGTCCTCCTTAGAATTTCTGTACCCTTCTTCCACATGCTATCTGTGTTAGCTACTAAAGATTCATAGCTCTTCTCTGGAGAATTGCCCTTGGCTGAGCAGGAAGCACTATCAAGGAGAGATGTGTGCCTGCCCTGCTCCCTTGCCTCAAGTCAGGACTGAGGTTACCCTCCAGAGCCTGCTGTGGGATCAGGCTAAAGTCAGAACGCACATCATACCACTTCTTTGTTCAGTTCCCCTCCCTGGCCTGGCCAAATTTGCCATTCCTGCTGCCTGAGGACCCACCTTTAATAAATCACATGTGTCTGAAGCTTCATCCCCAGCCTCTTCCCCTCCTAGATCTCTCTACCTAGGACAGTTGTGGGTAAAGTGAGGAATCCTATGAGAGAACCCAGAAAAACAGAAATCGGAAAGGCAATCTAGTCAACAGTGAAATGCATGACAAAATGGAGGGATCATATCAAGAAATAAAATGACATCTGAAAAGTCACACCAATAAACATAAACATCATTAAATGTACATTAATCTTTGGATGTTGAAATCCACATTGAATTTCCAAAATTAATTCAAATAATTGTATCAAACACACATGCACACATGTGCATACACACACTAATCATAAGAATTTAAAATATTCTGAAATTCTTTCATCTTTCCTTTTTTTTCTTTCTTATTTAAAAAAAAAAACAATGGCCAGAATACTGGCTTCTGTAAGATTAGTTCCTGCTCTGGCAAACCAAAAGAGGCAGCATCTTCTCAGCACAATTTTACCCTCCAAACATTTTAAAAGTACCCAATTATCTGGCTTTGTATTAGTTACAAAATCTTGTAGTTATGAAGAAAGTTTTTTTTTTTCTAAAAAGAAAATTCAGTTTATCTCCCTAAATTAAAAGTGTCCCTATAAATAAGAAGAGAAGTTGTTCCTGTCAAAACTTTGGGTCTACTTAGGACTAATGGAGTTTCTTTGTTTCGTAGGAAAACCTTTTGCCCTCAGACCAGCTGCTAAAGTTGAACACCACAGATGATTCTTTCAAAGCGATTCTGAAAAACCATATGCTGGAATCTAAATTTCTTAAACTTTACACACAAGATCAGAACGCCACATCTTAATAGCCATATAACTCTATAAAGAATTATCCCTGATTTCTCTGGTAGATCATCACTGCAGAAAGAACGAAAAAAGGCTTCATAAAAGCATTCCACCTGTATTGCTGGCAGATGACTTATAAATGTCGCACAGACATGGGCTGACTACTGGCTCATAGAAGCAGCATTAAATGAACGATGAGACATCTGCTGGTAAATACACAGCAAACAAAAAATGCAACCCAGAGCCAAACATGTGCACAGTGTGGGCCCCATCTCTGCTCATAAACCAAGCAATGTGTTCTGCTAATCATTAGCAGAGTTATTGATTTTAGATGTGTATCACACAGCTATAATTTTGTCAGAGAGTAGACCACATAAGTTGTTCTTTTTCTGGTTGTTTCATTTTGTCTTATTCCAAGAGTCCGTAAATTGACGACCGGGACAAAAATTATAATTGACATCATCTGTGGGAAATATTTCATAAAACAACAGGCCCAGATGTAGGATTAAAGCCATGTGGTAGTAAAATACCCCACTGAAAAGGGGCCAGGTTCCATGATTTCTTAAGAAAGCAGATGTGCTCTTTCTCCCTCTGCTTGTTTTTCATTTTTTTTCTCCAAATAATTCCCCCCCAACCACCACCGTTTTTTCCTCTCTGTCTCTTCACGATTGCACTGGAGAGAGTTCATAAATGGATTACAGATGTAGGCTTGTACTTCAAAATACTAACTGTCACAATCTCTGGAATAAAATAAATGAAACATTTGGAAAAATTACATTGAACTATTGTAAAGGTAATGATGATTATGCAAACATGTCTGCTTGACATGTATCTAGCATCTTTGGGCATAAGCATATGATCTCCCAGATACCTCAAGCTGGAGTTCAGCGAGTAGGAAGTAATTTAGAGTTTGTCCAAAATGCAACAACACGGGTGACTCCTTCTGAAAGCTCCCTGTTCTGAAGGGGAAGCTTTTACCTTTGAAGTTTCCACAAGTTGGTAAAAGGGTTCTCATGTACTTTCTTTCTTCTTGAGGTGAGATTTCTGGATAAAACAGGGCATAGGAAAATAAGAACCCAATATATCTCAGCCTCTACTCATTCAAGTTCCTTTTATCTACATTATTGCTCTACAATTTCCCCTTTGGAAATGTTGTGAACCGCAAGAAAGGGATCCTAGGGCACAAACACAGGCTATATTGTTTAACAACTAATCTACAAGTGCTGTGAAGAACTGCACACAACCGGGTTTTTTGCCAAAGACCTCAGTGTCATATGGAATCTATTGCAGTATCACTGATTACAATTAATTAATTCAGCATTTATGCTATATCTCAGCATCCACCTCCAGTAATATGCCAAGATGGCTTAGTGTTGGGAGAAAATAATAAAGTGTAAAAGAAACTAAATTTCCATCATGTGTCACTGTTAAGATTTCAACAGACTATCTATACTCTCCAACTCTCCCTTTTCAGCCCCTCAAAAACTGAAGCAAACAGTACATAAATTTGTTTAGAAACCAGAGGAGCCTGACTCCAATTTCCTTGCATTGTTTCTTTAGTCTGTCTTCTTGGGGTAAAATAAGAAATAGAATTCAAAGTACCAGTGAGACTCCAGGAGACCTGGGCTGAGTAGTAACTCACAAAGATCATTTTGATACTCCTATTTCAGCATCCTTCTTTCTCCAGTTCCTCAGATGCCCAGCTCAAGGCTGAACACCTTTGTGCTCCATGAGTCTGAAAGAGATTATACTAAGTAAAATAAACCAGATATTATATTATTCCACTGTTATAAAATACTTACACATAGGCAAACTCATAGAGACGGGAAAGTATATTAGAGGTTACCAAGGGTTGGAAAGAGTGAGAAATGGGGAATTGCCACTTTTTGGGTATAGAGTGATATTGCTCATGAGAACTTAGGAAAGAAGAAAATAATAGAATGGTGTGAGAGTGAGGAGCAAGACAAAAGAGGAACTATGATTCTTCCCCAGGCACCAAAGACAAATCAGAACAATGTGTATGAGTCTTTATGACTTTTAAATTTTATTGTTACAGAGATGAAAGCTACAAATAAATGATTGATCTATCCCAAAGTAAGTTTGTGTTCAGAGGGCATATAATAATTTTTAAATGTTATTGTGGCAAAAGATGTATAATGGAAAATATGCCATTATAACCATCTTTCAGTGTACAATTCAGTGGCTTTAGTTGCATTCACAGTATAGTGCAATCAGCACCACTATCTATTTTTAAACTTTTTTCATCATCCATACAGAAATTCTATACCCAATAAGTGGCAATCCCCATTTCTCAGTCTTTCCAGCCCCTAGTAACCTCCAATATACTTTCTATCTCTATAAATTTGCCTATGTGTAGGCATTTTATGAAAGTGGGATAATATAATATCTGGTTTACTTTATGTAGCATAATCTCTTTCAGACTCACCTATATTGCCACAGGTATCATATATTTCATTCCTTCTTATGGCTGAATAATATTACATTGTATGTATCTACCCCATTTGATTATCCATTCATCCATCAATGAATACTGGGTTGTTACCACCTTTGGGCTGTTGTGCATAATGCTGATGTGAAAACTAGTGTACAAGTATCTGTTTTTACCTTTATTCTCAATTATTTTACTTACCTTGGAGTGGAATTGCTAGTTTATATGGTAATTCTGTATTTAACATTTTTAGGAACTGCTTTCTAAAGCAGCTGGACAATTTTACCTTCCCATCACTGCCAGCAGTTGTTATTATTACTATTGCCATGCTTTTTGGCCATTGTATTTTTTTCTTTGGAGAAATGCCTTTTAAAATAATTTGCCCATTTTTCAACTGGATTGTTTGTCTTTTTGTTGTTGAGTTGTGGGGATGATTTATATATTCTGGTTATTAACCTTGTTCAGCTATATGATTTGCAAATATTTTCTCCTGATCCTTAGGTTGTCTTTTCACTTTCTTAATCATATCCTTTGATGGATGGAAAATTTTAATGTATTGAAGGTCAACTTACCATTTTTTTTCTTTTGTTGTTCATGCTTTTGGGATCATACTTCAGAATTTATTGCCAAATCCAAAGACATGAGGATGTTCCCTTATGTTTCCTTTGAAGAGTTTTATGGTTTTAGCTCTTACATATAGGTTGCTAATTCACTTTAGTTTATTTTTCTTAATAGTGTAGGAGTCCAAGCTGATTCCTTTACATGTGAATATCCAGTTGTCCTGACATCATTTCTTGATGAAAGTACATTTTGATTCAGATTCCAAAGCAGGGTGTGAGGACCAAAGTTAGGGGACCAAGGATTAAACTTTTTTTTCCTCTATGGAATTCTTTATTTACCATGTGGGCTGTACTGACAGGCTCATATTTGAGGTAATATCTATTTAATTCAATTACTATTCTATTAGAACACCCAGTTTTATTTATTTTCTCCACTAAAACCCACTAGAGGACTTTGAAGTTATAGAACCACGGCAACACATTGTGTTCCTATGGTCACAAATGCTTGACTATTAGAGGGTTAAGATGGGGGAAAACATCTATAGGGAGGAGAGAAACTGACCTGTTATTGATCACATGAGGACTTGGCCACCTACTTGGTGTCACTGGCTGGGATCTCAGTAGCAGAGCAGGAGAGAAAGGGGAGAAATGGTCTCCAGTTCTGAGCTTACAAGAAGAGCAGGTAAAATTGGGCTTGGCTTGAACTGGTGAGAGGTTGATCTGATCAGTAGAGTACAATGGTGGAGGTGAGTAGATAGGTGAGCAACAAGCCACTGTGTTGCCAGTAATCCACCAGTGTTGGAGGGGCATTACAGCCTTGAGTGGGAAGATGAAGAGAGGAGTCTGATCTTACCTGAGAGGGAGCTAAAGAGAAAGGTCACATCTCAGAGAAATCATTCACACCATTTCCAGTTTAGAACTGAGGAAACAGATAAAGAAACTGAGACAGAAACCAACACACAGATTGAAAAAAATGATCTTCAGGGATCATTCCAGGGACAACATGAGGGCTATGAGATCTTGAACAGCAAGACTCAGCGCATATCCAGTGGTGGGGAATTAGACTTCTTTACAATTACGTCAGAGACACAGGCACTCGAGCCTGAACATGAAGAATGCTAGGTCTTGTAGCCATGCTGGGCTGGCACATCAAGAGCAAGCAAAGGAAAGTAAACCCTGTGGGAACAAAGGCAAGAAAAACCTGACTTCCTGTACCATTAGCAACTCCTCAGCCTTGATCTCCATAGAAGGGGCAATCAAGCTAAAAGATTTTATTTATGAAGCCTGCTTGAGATAGTATTTTAAAATTTTGTTTTCCTAAAGTTAGAGATTTCAAAAATCATGTAAGTGCAGCATAAAAAACAAAGCTGAAAATTGAACCACTATAGAATTTGATGGCATTTTGTTTCAAGAGATAGTGCCATAGAAAGGACAATTGCAAACTCTATCAGTGGTCTCATGGTCATCCTACAGAGTCATCTGCTTATGTCACCCCTTACAGTAAGGAATAGTTGGAAGCAACAAGGAAAGTCAAGAAATCCCATAATGTGACTCTCTCAGACAAAGTAGAGGAGTCTAAGGCCCTAGGATATGGTCATTCAATCCACCCTGTGTCTGAGCCAGTCAACAATAAGAAATGTTAGAAACGCAAATAAGAGTTGTTGAAAAATAGAAAGATTTTCATTATAAGAAGTGGCTAGGCTTTGGATCAAATGCTAATGTTTCATTCCCGGTATTTACTTAGATGGTACCCTCTTTGATGTTTCCTTGTCAGCTTCAGATTTTCACCAACTCCTTGCAGTGCTTGGGGATCCACACTGGGTCAGGCAATCTGATGAACTGCATAGACACTTCATCTCACAGTCCCTGGAACAGATGTCTTAAATACCCTTAGTGTGTTAGTTGGGCTACATTTCTCCAAAAAATACAGACCCTCATTTAATAACAAATGGACGAAAAAAAGGAACATGTGAAACAGGCAGGACTTCTTTGATGTTCTCTATTTCAAAATGTGATGGTAAGTAACTTCAGAGGAAATATTTTTATTTTCTCTTCACCAATGGCTAAAACAATGAATAGGGTTGAGAGAATATTTGGGCCTTGAATCATTGCTTCCATGCATCAGGCTTCCTTGTTCATATACTTAGTAGAATAAGGCAACTTTATTTTCTTGAAATGCTGTTTTCATTTCATTATTTCCCAATTCAAACCCTTTAATTACTTCTCTACGGGTTACTGAAAAATGGCATTGAATAATATATTTTCAGTTCTATAAGAAATCCTAATATACATCTCATCCAATTCCCTTCTCTTTGACAACAGGGGAAACTAATGCTCAGACAGACTAAAGGAAAATGTAAGTCTCACAATTCGTCAGTAAGGAATCCAGGCCTAGAACTGCTTCTGTCTTCCAACGTCATGCTCTTTATGTAACTGGATCGCTGCAGACTATGTAGAGACCCACGCCATGCCTCTGTGCTCCTTTTCAGCTTCATCTTCAGTGCTCTCTCTCCCAAATTGCCCTCCTTGCAATTCTTCAAGAGCTCCACAAGCCTGAAATATCCTCTCTCATCTTCTTTCTATGTGCAAATATCTTCCATGTAAAGACAAGCCTACATTTCCCAAGAATTCTTTTCTAAGCAACACCAGTCCCAGGAAGAATTAATATTAGTTGCACTCATTTGTCACATTTCTCTATCTACTTTTGCCTATATTTAAAAACTTATGATAAACATAAGACTGTAAGAATTCAGAAGTGTTAGTTGTTTTCCCTAGATAACTTTTTATTTACTAATCACTCCATCACATTACGGAAAAATTTAGAATACGCTTATACTTGCCAAATCACACAAATAAATGGATACCACTGTGGATTCCTTCTAAGGTATATATATAAGAAATATCAAAATTTCACAAAATGAAAATAAAAAATATCATTTCATCTTTTGAGATATATTAACATTATTATAGATTAGCCATTGAAAATATTTTTCATAAAAACTTAAAATTGATATAAATTAGGAGTGCCTTTAAGAGAAAGGATCTGAGATTGAAAGGTGAAGAGACTCCGCTAATTTGACATGTAGAATAACCGAAATAGCTCTTGGGTCTTTTGGCTCTATTTTCCCCAGCCTTCCAAACTTACATTCATAAGCTCTTTCTTCACAGAATTAGGATCACGGTATTCTTTTGAAACTCAATGGATATGTGGCAACCCCAGGTCACCCTCATTACATGTTCTGCTAATGCCTCTACGTTGTCCTCTAGTTGAACTGTGGTTTTGCACACAGACAGATTCCAAATGGATGGGGATTTCACCAGTTTTACTGATTTGGCCAAAGTTCTTAGCACCAGTCTTGCACTTTAATATGGCACTATGGTTCAGTTCCCATAGTAACGAAAGATGAAAATCCCATTATTACCTAAGATGAAAATCAGCTGTACACATAGTCCATATTTTCAGCAGACCATTTTTATGAACTAGAGCCAATGTACACATTCAAATCTCCTTACAAGTCGCCCATCACCTTATTCAGCAAAGTGGCTTCACTGCTGGGAAAAAAAGAGAATAGATTTTGCAGAAGAATAGGAAATGTTAGTGACCAAATGTATTCTACAGAAAAGAGAACTAGAGAAGTGACAAGTCTATGAAATGATTTTCTAAATGAGTCTGATCAAAGATAGCAATGACCGAGCATTTTTTCTTTACATCAGGAAAATGAAAGGATAAAGGACAGTATTAGAATATCTTCAGAAGTTAAACAGAGGCAAAAATCAGCTCTTTAATCAATGATAAATATATCTACATCCTCTGCATCTATATTTATGTTGATAACTGTATATTTATTTGTCTAACTACACAAATTAGAGCTACTTCAACAACAAGGCTAATTTGAGCAAGGATTCCCCGAAGTTTAACTGGGAAGGGTTTAATAATATTTCTCCCATGATCCATGTGATCTTCACATGATTAACTTAGTCAGTGATCACATGGGAATCAGCTGAACCTTAGAGAAAAAGGTCTAGGCATGTTATACAGTGACAGATTTGTTGGAGGATATTAACTAATATGCCTTTCCTCACTTCCTGCTTGCATTTGACCAACATCAATTAGAGCTGCTGGAGGTTGCCTTCAATTGCTCCAAAAAGAGGCGGAGGAAAAAAAAATCAGTTTCTTGGTAAGTCATTCAGTTTCCCAGAAGATAACAAATATTTGTGGAGAGTTTTATGAAATAACAAATTTAAAAGGTCTGGGTATGGTTGAAGAAACCAACAAGGAATGGGAACGCACCAAGAACAGTCAGGAGAAAGCTTTATGAACACTAGCCTTGTCACTCCACTAAGCAAGAGTAGTGAGTGGAGTGACTGATACCGAGAATGTGCTGTGGCCATGGGCAGGCAATGGAGTCACTGCTAGAACCATGGCCTGCCAGGGAGGGAGCAAGGCAAATAATCACCCTAACATTTTTGTCCTGTGAATTCCAAGTCTTTTGCAGGTGTATTCTGCAGCTAAACTCAGTGGGAAGCCAGAGGTCATGGAAGCACAGGAGTTGCAATTTGTAGAGGACAAATTTCTGTGGCAAAGATTAAACACAGATTATTTTTCAAGAGGGGCAAATGGAACATAAAAAAAATACCTGACTTTTAAGTTCTGCAACTTCTTTTAAAAATGGAATTCAGACTTCAGATTCTGGGGAAAGAAAGTAGACATACTTTTCCCTATTCCTAAGTATGATTTTAAATCCTGAATGTGATAGACAGATGATATAATAGATTAATAGATATACAGGCAGATGATAGCTATATGTTAGATAGATAGATAGATAGATAGATAGATAGATAGATAGATAGATAGATAGATAGACAGACAGGCATAAGACTCTGAAAGGTGGAAAGAAGAATGTAAATGATCTAAGGAACTCAGGACAAAAAGGAAACATGATATAATTTTCTAGTTTGGGGGTATATTTTTTCCTTGTACAAAATTTGGAGGTGATAAAGCTGGAAACAAATTAATGAAAATATGTGCAGACAGAAAAAAGCCATAACAAAACTCTGTTCTCTCTAGCCAAAGTAAAAGGCAGCCTAATGAGACCAAAAATAAAATAAAATATTTTAGAGAATATCTAGTCTATTCCAGCTAAACACCACAGAAAAGTTATGCCCACCCCTCATCCCCATGCCAGCAAAGGCTGAGTGATTAACTGAAGGATCCAATCTCACCAGGCTATAACAAGGCACCTCAGAACACCTGCTGGATGATCAGAGAAGACTAACTAGGGAACCAAAATGTTCATTCCTGCTGAGTGATTACAAGTTTCCTCTTTTCCTACCATGCCAGTGAAGACCAAATAGGGAGCCAGCACTTCCATTCTTACCTGGAAGTAACAAGGTGTCCCTCTGTCTTCCTACTGGGTGGTATGAGAGGAGGCCCATGGAGAATCAAGAATTTCATCTCTGCTCATCACCAATAAGGTCATCCCTCCACCATGGAGGTAGTGGAGGATGTGGAGAGCAGTAATAATGCACACCTACTCTCCCTAGCAAGGGAGCAGTGACTTCATCCCTCTGCCCACGACCACAGCACCTCTAGGTATCAGTAACTCCACTCACTACTATTGCTTAGGGGAGTAACAAGCCTAGTGCCCCTAAGACCTCCTGATAGCTGTTCCTGCTGCCTTGACATCATTTGTTAGTTTCCTAAACCATAGCTGGACCTCTGTAATGATGGCCTTCCCCTCAGTTATCAGTGGAAATTTAGGGAGAATCCTGGACTTCTACCTCCACTTAGCAGTAATGAAGTGGCACCTCACCCTCCCCTGCAAAAGCGTTATCAGAAGAAGCCAGTTAAAACAAAAGCCTTCAATAATATCCCAGTCTCATAACATAATGTCTTGATCCCTTCTTCATTCTCAAAGGATATTTTCACTGGAAATAAGATTTTGAGTTGACAATTCTTTTCTTTCAGTACTCAAAAATGGCCATCCTACATCTAGACTCTTCTGTTTTTGTTGAGGGGAGCTGATAATAGTCCCAGAAGACACAATCCCTGAACACCAGAATCCTGAATGTTGAAATCCCAGAAGAAAATAAAATTCTGGGAAAAATAATTTTAAAATACTTTAAAAACATTTCTTTACATTGCTAAAAGAGAATTTATGTGAGAAACATACAAAAACCACAGAACATTTTATAGGCTACTTTATGTCATAAAACAGGCAATAATAGCATACATATTTTTGCAAGCATAAACACTCAGATATACTAATTACAGTTGCACAGGCAAAGCAGAAGGAGACAAACTACATATACAAATAAATTGCTTATTTAGTTGCAGTCATCTGAAATACCACAATGGATGACCTAAGTCTTTTGATGAAATCAATCAAAAACTGGGATGGGTCACCACAGCATATGCATTCACCCAAAGAGATGAGATCTTGAGAAATTTTATGTTTCACAAATGTAGATGTATAAAAAGGATACCTCTTCATTTATTAAAGAAGTTTCAACATTTTTACGTATGCACACAATGCTTTCACACAAACTCAGCTTCACAATAATACAACTTTGTGTAGTCAAATTTGCAAAACAAATACATAAAACAAAATAGAGCTCTCTAAAAGTTTTTATACAATTTATATATCCAGTATTGGAAATGATGTAAAGATGAAATACACAGCATAGAGTGTTACAAAAAATAATGATGACAATTTGAAATAGTGAAAAAATAAAGCAAAAAATAAAATAAAATTTGATGTACGAAAAAGTGTATTTCAGGGATAGATTATGGGCAATCACACAAAGGTAATCCATAAGGGCTGGCTGACTTTCACGATGATCAAGTATATTTTAAAGTCTTGCATCATGATAAATGGTGGCTTTTTTTCCCTTAAGTCATGGCTCTACTTTGAGAATATATTCACATTCATTTTCTACATGGAGCTACCGTTTTTGAAATTATTCTATGTTGTAAAAATACATAAATTTTTGCCATGATTTTATGTTATTTTGGGTTCACAGAAATTCATTTTGCATGGACTCATATACAGACTACAAATTTGGTGGAAACAATACTGGTGATAGAATAGCAACACTGATGCCCAAATGTCTTTTAATCCCACCATGCACATTATTGTTTTCAAACCATCAGTTACTTTGCTGGCTTCTCAGGCCCTGGAATGTCATTAGCTGGAAGAAATGACAATGCTGGTGAACTAAAGCTTTTGTCATTGTCATATCATGGTCAATGCACTGATCTGAATTTTCCACCAAATTCATTGCCAAATGGAAAGGAAAAAAACACAAACTTTACTGGTAACACTTTGAAATTCACTTTTAAAAGGCTTGAAAGCATTTAATTCTAAATCTGTCATTATGGTTTGGGGATTAAATTGAAATCCATTTTCACATACAAAGTCTACCCAAGTCTACTGATATTTACTCCTTGGTTCTCTTTATCCTCACTGTATTTCCCAGCATCCTAGCCTCCATGCATCCTGAATCTCCATGTTCCAAACCTATTCTTTGAAAGCCATAGCCAAAGAAGCAGCAGCCATGGTATGTCCTCTTTATTTCTAACCAGCCAGCCCTGCTAGATCCACCAGCCCTCTTTTGGCCAAACTGCACACAACTTTAAGTGGCACAATAAACTAAAGGGGGCTTCTCCACTTTCCTGCCCCCTTGTGTCTCAGGTTTTCTCTCTGTCTAGATTTCTCCTGGCATTATCTTTGCCATGCTCTAGTTAGCCCATGTCAGCATGGACCACTCTTCAAAGCCTTCTTCACCACACGTTGTATAGGAAGACAGGGAGCAAGAAATACTTATATTGGCTCAGAACATCTCTAGCTCCACATGAACAGTTTCTACTCTGGGAGAGATATGATGTGAAGCCCCTTTTGCAAGCACACTTTCTCAAACTTCTCTTCCAAATCTAATGCTCTCCCCTCTTCCCAGGAAGGACTTTTCTCTCCTATTTTAATGGTGGTAAAGGATTATTCCAAAGATATAGCTAATAAAGTGTCTCTGAAATTAATACCATTACAATACATACTCTTATATGTATCATTGCTGCAATGGGATTTAGGATCCACTAAGTCAAATCTCAATCTTCAGTATTTACTTCCCTTTGCACTTTTGCTATTTTGATCTTAATTTTCACCATTACAATGCATAGCCCAGACTAAATTACATGACAGACAAGAAGTATAAGAGGAGGAAAGAACATGAATTAATATTCTAAGATACTATTTTGCTACATACTTATAAGAATTGCATATTCTTTCAAATCCATGAAAAGACCAAAACTATGACTCATTTACATACCTTGCAGAGGAGACAGAATAAGCAACTTGGAAAATATATTTGAGGATATAGTACATGAAAATTTTCCTAATCTTTCTAGACAGATTAACATGCAAATTCAAGAAATACAGAGAAATCTAGCTAGACACTAAACAAAACAACCACCTCCAGGGCACATAGCCATCAGATTCACCAAGGTCAATGCAAAATAAATAATCTTAAAAGTGGCTGGAGGCTGGGCGCAGTGGTTCACGCCTGTAATCCCAGCAATTTGAGAGGTTGAGGCAGGTGGATTACCTGAGGTCAGGAGTTAGAGACCTGCCTGGCCAACACGGTGAAACCCCATCTCTATTAAAAGTACAAAAATTAGCCGGGTGAGGTGACACATGCCTGTAATCCCAGTTACTCGGGAGGCTGAGGCAAGAGATTTGCTTGAGCTGGAGAGGCGGAGGTTGCAGTGAGCCAAGATCATGCCACTGCACTCCAGCCTGGCTGACAGAACAAGCCTCTGTCCTAAGAAAAAAAAAAAAAAAAGTGGGTGGAGATAAAGGTCAAGTCACAAACAAAGGCAACCCCATCAGGCTAGCAGCAGATCTCTCAGAAGAAACTTTACAAACCAGAAGAGATTAAAAGCCCATTATCAGTGTCCTTAAATAAAAGAAATCCGCCCTCCCCGCAAAAAAAAAAAATTTATATTCTCCCAAACTAAGCTTTATAAGTGGAGGAGAAATACAGTCTCTCTCAGGCAAGCAAATGCTGAGGGAATTTATTTCAACTAGACCAGCCTTAAAAGAGGCTCCTAAGAGTGTGTTAAACATGGAATTGAAAGAATGATACCTGCTACCACAAAACCACACTTAAGAACATAGCCCACATGCATTATAAAGAAACTACACAATCAAATCTGCATAACAACTAGCTAACAACATGATCCCAGGATCAAAATCTCACATATCAGTACTAACACTGAATGTAAATGGACTAAATTCCCCACATAAAAGACATAGACAAAAAGATAACACCCAACCATCTGTGTCTTCAAGAGACCCATCTCACATGTAGTAACACTTACAAGCTCAAAAATCATACAAGGGTAGGGGAGGACAAGGAGTCATTATTCTTGTATCAGATACTACAGACTTTAGACAAAAATAAATCAATAAATAAGAAAGACAATGAAGGGAATTACATAATGACAAAGGGTACAATCCAACAAGAAGAATTAACTCTTCCAAATATATACACACCCAACATTGGAGCACCTAGATTAAAAAAAAAAAAAAAAAAAAAAGTTTTTGACCTATCACAAAACTCAGACAACTACACAATAATAACGGGAGACATCAACACCCCAGTGGCAGAATTAAACAGATCATCAAGGCAGTAAACTAATGAAGAAACTATGGACTTAAACTAGACCTATGGACCAACTAACCTAATAGACATCTGCAGAACAGTCCACCCAGCAATCACAGAATATACATTCTTCTCATCTGCATGTGGAACATATTCTAAGATTGACCACATGCTCAGACAGAAGGGGTATCAATAAACTGAAAAAAAAAAAAATTGAAATCCTACTACACACACTCTTGGATCACAGTGTAATAAAAATAGAAATCAATATCAAAAAGATGTCTCAAAACTATACAAATATATGGAAATTAAGCAACTTACTCCTGAATAACTTCGGAGTGAACATCAAAATTAAGGCAGAAGTAAAAAAGTTGTTGAAATTCATGAAAATAGTAACAGAACTTACCAAAATCTCTGGGATGTAGCTAAAGCAGTGTTAAGAGGAAAGTTTACAGCCCTAAACAACTTCTTCAAGAAGTTAGAAAGATTTTAAATTAACAACCTAACTTTGCACCTAAAGGAACCAGGAAAAAAAATAACCAACCAACCCGTAAGCTAGCAGAAGAAAAGAAATAAGTAAATTAGAGAAGAACAGACTGAAATTAAGATGCAAAAATGTATACAAAAGATCAATAAAGCCAAGTTCTTAAAAAAACTAATAAATAGAGATTGAAAGACCACTAGATAGATTAACAAAGAGTGAAAAAGAGACGATCAAAATAAATGCGATCAGAGATGAAAAAGATGCAGAACAACTGCCCCCTCAGAAATACAAAAGATCCACAGAGACTATTATGAGCACCTCTATGCAGGCAAATTAGAAAATCTAGAGGAAATAAATACATTCCTGGAAACACACAATCGCACAAGATTGAATCAGAAAGATTGAAACCCTGAATAGACCAATATCAAGCTCTGAAATTAAATCAGTGATAAAAGTCCTACCAAGAAAAGAAAAATTCCCTGGACCAGACAGATTCACAGCGGAATTCTACCAGATGTATAAAGAATTTGAACAAATTTTTTATACTCCATTTGAAACCTGTCACAGCCAACTATCTACTAATCTGTATTTAATTTGATCACTGAACTTATTTTCATTAAGGTTAAAAGAAGAAAGTTGGTGAATATATTTGAAATTAAAACATTAATCAATAAGTAAAATGGATATTTTTTTTTGATGAATGTTTAAAGTAATGTAGAAAACAGTTACCTATTTTCCTTTAGCCATTGTAATCCCAAAGAAACAAGTCAATACTGTTAGAGAAGACACCATTATACTCAAGATCTTAATGCAGTTAAAAGATTCCCCAACCCTAGCTAATGTCCAAATTTTAATCAGCAGTAAGTATAGCATAATTTTAGGGATACAGAATCTGAGCATTTTACTAACATTAGTTTTCTTTAGGCAGCAATTTCTCCAGTAACAAGATCATCCCAAATTGCTAAGAAATTCCAATTTTT